ACGTAACTCCTTTCGGTATCAATTATTTCATTCACAACTCTAAAAATATAAGTATCATCGTCCAAAATACTCATTTTACGTTTATATGACATGGGAGGAGTTGTTGGAGGTGAAGCAGCTCCGTTTATTGCAGTATCAGTATTAACAATTACAGGCGGATTTATCCGTGATGATTTACGTCGTATTCTTGGATCCTTCTCTTTGATGGCAGTCGTCTCATCAGTGTTAATTGTTACTTGTTTATGCTTTGGTGTAGATTGATTATCTTTCACATTTGTAGTCCTGTCAAGATTGGCTGCTTTTTTAGATGTATTCTGATTGGTCAGTATTACAGGCACACCATTGGCAATATTTTCACTTGGGCAAGGTACTGCATTTGTGTCTGTTTGGTCATTCTTGCTATCATGACCATGTTTATTGTCTGATGATTGGATATTCTCAACTTCTTTGCATACATCTGTATTTTTGTGTATATTTTCTGGCCCACTGAGTTTTTCTTTCTCAGTGCTTGAGATAGAATCATTGCTGACATCCTTCTGTATGGTCCGATTCTCAAACCTCTTATTTTCATCTTCCGGTGATGACGCATCTTTACTGAAAAACTGATTTTCATTCGATGATGCAGACGTTTCTGATGAGGTAGAAAGAATGCTGACTGGTCGACAGTCCTTGTCATCTGCATGTTGATTGGTCGATTCTTTATCCGACTTTTCATTGGTTGAAGGCACTTGTAATTCCTGATTAGATGATGGTAGAGATTTATTATCAAAACTAAATGTAGAATGTAAATCTTTGTTATCCGTTTTGTGATTGGCTAAATATTCTTTGCTTTCACTATCCTGACCAGTGCACACATCTGATGTGTTGTTAGCCAAGGTGTCATACAGATCTATCAAAGTTGGACTAATGTCCATAGATGATTCTGCTGAAGAGAAAATAATACAACAGTTAGCTTTTTCATACTTTACAGATTAGAATGAAATAAAAACTTGTTTATTGCTATAAGACAACAGAGTAATGCATCATACCTATTGTAAATTCAGAAAACAGTGAAGTGTGATATATTGATAGTAAGGTAAACACAAAGTGTCAATTGTTTAGTCAGGAACTAGGGTTGGGTTAACAGAATTAATTCACTTCCTTCCTTTGCATAAACTAAAACATATACATCTGAAACCACTGTTGTAAAGTAGGTGAAATCTACCTTAAAGGCAAAGAAAACTACCAGACCACATCAATCAACATATTCTAACTTGTTACTGTTTAAGTGCCAAAGGCTACTTATCTCACCCTCGAGATGAGGGTTGTACAACATTAGTCTACACAGAATGTACAAATATGTATATCATTGAATAGAGTTGAAGCCCATGAACAATTAATCCACTGTAGACAGTAAAAAGCATGGTAATATCCCTCCCTATAGAGTACTGGTACATGTACTGCCTTGGTTGATACACTGCTACGGGTCATTAGTGGTGTTCAGACTATACTCTAGTACAAGCTAAGATTAAACCTCATCCCATGTTTGCAAATCGGCTAGACCCAGTTTTGCTCACACAGGAGAGGGTCCAACTTTTAGTACAGACTAAGGGATGACCAAACTTGCAAACAATATACAAAATTTCAGTCATTTTAACCTTTAAGAGTAACCCTGTAAGGATATTTATTTTCGTTCCATGATTATAAAACAATAACAACACAAATTCAGATGGATTAGTTCTAGTAAGACACTCAAGTCGCCATATTATTAAGAGTTGAACCAGTCACATGATTTATGCAATATGTACTGTTTGTAAGAAAATAAAGTTGTAATTGTTGAAAATGGGTATTTATCAGGCATACAGATGGTAACAAAAATAAATTTAAGCCCAAATTCCTTCACAAAGATGGGCTTAAAATAGCTACTATGATCAACAATTTATGAAATTAATGTTAACACACTGCCTGAACACAAATAAACAGTACATGTTTCAAAATCAACTTATTCTGTACAGACACCTGTACCTGTAGCTACTACATGTATGATCAACAATTTATGAAATTAATGTTAACACACTGCCTGAACACAAATAAACAGTACATGTTTCAAAATCAACTTATTCTGTACAGACACCTGTACCTGTAGCTACTACATGTATGATCAACAATTTATGAAATTAATGTTAACACACTGCCTGAACACAAATAAACAGTACATGTTTCAAAATCAACTTATTCTGTACAGACACCTGTACCTGTAGCTACTACATGTATGATCAACAATTTATGAAATTAATGTTAACACACTGCCTGAACACAAATAAACAGTACATGTTTCAAAATCAACTTATTAAGTACAGTCACCTGATAACAACAGCAACAATAAATTCTGAGCTTTATGTGCCATTGTTAAGTATACAGGGGGAAAAAAAGGTTAACTTAAAGACATAATAAAAAGTTTGACCCTGGTCGTCCTGTGAGTTGTAAACATGTACATGTAGGAGATTGGACAGCTGTGCATTCAGACTGATCTATTTGCTACACTTAGTGTAATATAATAATAGAATAGATCCTTTCAAGTTTTAAACAGAAACGAGCATTATAAATTTTGAATAAAAATACTAACAAGCAGCCTATCGGCTGAGATAGCTGCGCTGTTAGCAATGCACATTTCAATTAAAGAACTGAAGACATCATTAGAAAATGAACAATATGAATAGTATCAAAGCAATCGGACTTACAGTTTTTAACAAGAAGTCGAAAATATCACTTTCTACAAAAAATGACAAAAATATTCACCAAAATTAGAGAGTTGAAGATATCACGAAATGAACAAATCTGAGAATGGTCTACATGTAGTATATATATATGTAATATCAAAGCAATTGAACTATTGGTTTTTAACAAGAAGTCGAAAATATCACTTTTTACCAAAAATGACAAAAATATTCACCAAAATTAGAGAATTGAAGATATCATCACAAAATGAACAAATCTGAGAGAGGTCCACATGTAGTACCTATATATGTAATATCAAAGCAATCGGACTTGCG